AATTTTGTAATTGATCTTCAATTCTTTGAAGTTTAATTTCTTTTTTGAGAAATAAAACATTTTGTTTTTTGAAATTAATATTATTAATAATTTGAGAAATAGATGCTTCTTTGAGAGTATTAACTTCTTTAAAAGGAGGATTTATAAATTTGAAAAATAATTCTTGACAAAAAATATTAATCAAAAGTCATTTTTCAGAGGCTTGAAAATGATAAATTTGAACAATAAAATGAGTGCCAAGAATATTTTTAACAAGATAAAAAATATTTTTAAAACAAATATTTGAATTACAAACATGAGCATTCCAAAGTTTATATTGAGTATTCAATTTCTTTCCACTGGCACCATAAAGACGTTTAGTGGTTTTTTCAAAATATTTTGTAGGTATCAATCCTTAACGAATACAATTTTGATATGCTCCAGAATCAATAAGAACTCTAGTTGTTAATTTACAACTTTTGTTAACAACTATTTCATATTACAATACCATTTTTGAAGTTGAATTTTGTTGATAACATTGACTTTTTCTTCTTCAGAAAAAGAAATAGTAGGAAGAGTATGATCAATTTTATCATTAGGATGATCAAATCAAGCTATATACTCAAGATCTTTTTCTAAATCAGAATCAGAATTATGAAGATTTGAATTTTAAAGATCTGAAGTTTTCAAAATGGCAACATCAAATTTAATATCTTTAACTTGATTTTGAAGAATTGCAATTTGAGACTTCATTTCTCTAATTTCTGATTTAAGATCAGAATTAGTGGATTTTGAAGAAGAAGATTCTTGATGAAATCTCGATATATTATTTTCAATAAAAGACGTTTCTTGAATAGTAAAAGGAAATAGCAATCAATTTTTCGACTTCGTAGCGACTCCAATCAATCGATGTGGCATACAGTTGAATCCAAAGCTCCTGAAAACGGAAACACCCTTTACGCCTTCCCTGGCAAACAGGGGCAAAAACACCGTTAAGCTTAACCAACTGCTGCCTAAGCCATCATCTCTTCTTTGAAGCCACAAATCAATAATTTGAATACCTTTTTCTTTTACTACAAAAAAACGTGAGATACTCATCATAACTTATGTGGATTGAGAATATTTTTATGTCTGTTCGTTTAAATATTTTTTAGAATTTTTATGTTAAAAATTATTAAGAGCTTAAACTATTTTTATTTTTCAAGAAATATTTATAACTTAATTTTTTCAAAATTTTTATTTTTATTTTTAGGATTTTTTTTCTTTATTCTTTTCAAAATTTATCAATTTTTTTTTTTAATTTGTGTTTCTTGAATTTTATTGTTAAAATTTTATATTTTTATTTTTTAAAATTTTTGATTTTCAAAATCTTATTTAAATGTTAGGTTTTCATGTTGAATGTTTTCAGATTTTTCAACTGAAAACATTCAAAACGTCAAAAACACATTTTTCTCTTGTTTTGATGTGTGAAGAAATAATAATGGATAATTGAAGGCAGAGAATCAAGTGATTTATATAGAGATTACCAATCAGCAAACTCGCATGTAAAACATTCTTCTTCACCTTCTACAACAACTTACAACGATTTGATTTACGATGTGAACTAATTGAAGAGTCGATAAAATTTTTTTTTTTTCTCTGACCTAAATCGGGTTAATACCCTAAATAGTAACTGAACTTTGTTAAAAATTTCCAAGAGGTTACCAAACTTCAAAACTTTCCTAAATAATCACTGAACTTTGCAAATAGTTCTTAAGGGGTCACTGAACTTCCAAACTTCTCTAAATAGTCACTAAACTTTGTCAAAATTTCCCTAGATAGTCATTAAACCATTGATGCATGGGGTCCCAATTTGCAAAGTTCAGTGATTTCCTAAGAAGTTTTGGCAAAGTTCAATGACTATTTAAGGAAGTTTTGAAGTTCAATTATCCCCTAAGAACTATTTGCGAAGTTCAGTGATTACAAGGGAAGTTTTGAAGTTCGGTGACCTACTGGATTTCCTAAGAAGTTTTGGCAAAGTTCAATGACTATTTAAGGAAGTTTTGAAGTTCAATTATCCCCTGAGAACTATTTGCGAAGTTCAGTGATTACAAGGGAAGTTTTGAAGTTCGGTGACCTACTGGGAATTTTTGGCAAAGTTCAGTAACTATTTAGGGTATTAACTCACCTGAATCACACCGTCAACCTCCGTGGGATCTGCCGCCACGGCTGATCTCCAAGCTTCTCCGCCGTGCTCTGAGAGGCCAGCTTCTCCTAAGGTTGGTCCCTCTCCACAGTCGAAAGGATCGGGGACGTCTTATGCTGCAGCAGTTGCTAGTTCTCTCGCCTCTCACACTGCCCTCTCCAACATATCTGTGGTCTACATCTCAGTCGCTGTGCGTCAACCAGAATTTAAGGATGTTAAACCAGGAGTAATCTTCACTCCTCTGGAATTGTTACGATCTGAACCCCTTTAGTTTGCCCTCATCGCCAAATTCTCTAAGACAAGGCCAAAAATGGATGTGCATCGTCATTTTATCGGTACAAATTGAGGATTGTCTTCGGTCCCTATTGTATGTTTACTAGATCGGCGCCATGAATTGATCAAACTCCAAAATGCTGAGGATTTTAATAAGGCTTGGACGCTTGATTCACGTGAGATTGATGGCTCTTTACTTCGATTGTTTAAATGGTCTCGTGATTTTAAACCGACTGAGGAATCCCCCATTGCTCCAGTTTGGGTTCGTCTCCCTTTACTTTCCCTAAATTTTTGCATTCCACCATATTTACAGACCTTAGTTAAGCCCCTTGGTCGTTACCTCAGTTCGGATCTTCCCACAGTTACATTCATACGGCTTAGTTTTGCAAGAGTTTATGTTGAAATAGACTTGTCACAACCACGTGAAGATCTGATCTGGATTGGAATTGGGAAGGATAATTCGTCGGGTTTTTGGCAGGAAGCACTTTATGAAAGGTCCCCTAAGTATTGCAACCATTGTCGTCTCCATGATTATGATATTTCAACCTGCAATAGAATTCAAGGCACAAACCGTGCGGCTAGAAAGACAATACAGAAACATATACCTCTACAGGTAAATAAAAATGGTGATAACCAGGTTGAACAACCAACGAAAAATGTGTAGGACAATTCAAGTGAAATTCAATCTACTATAGAAGGGTCTAAATTATCTAGTAAAGGGGAGCAGGTTACAACTACTGATACATCGGTACCAGGTAAAGAATTTCACTTCACGAACGAGACTCTAGTTGGGACACAAAAAAATAAAGAGATTTCCCAGAAAGATCCTATCATTCTGTTTAGTGAGGATAAGGAGCTTACGACTAAGGAAGACGATAAGGATGAGGTTAATGCAGATAGAATGTTAAGAAAGGCTGGGCTTTTGAACTCTGGAAGCACTGCTAGGATTGTGCCAAGCTCACCACCTTGTAGCACATACCTTGCTTCCTCCCCCCCACCCCCACCCCCACCCCCAATCTATGCTCCGTTACCGGTTAGAGGAAAATATTCCTAAAGGAAATTCTTTCGACGTGGTAATTGATCAGTTGCATTTGGAAGTTGGAAAAGACCCCCCTGATTACTCCTTCAACATTGGCAGAGATGGTGGTTGTTATTCGAACAAGGATATACCAGACATAGCAGCCAACAACAGACGTAACAGAAAAATGGTGCTGATCTTTGACTTGATTGAGGATCCTTATAAACATCTTTGATATGAATACATTCCTTGTATGGAATGCAAGGGGGGTGGGAAATTCTGCGACCACTCGACATCTTAAACCCTCAATTAAAAGCTTTAAGGTTTCATTTATTGCTATATTGGAGCCGATAGTGTCTTTGGATCAGGCTGCTAAGACTGGTAGGAAGTTGGGTCTTCCGCAAGTTGTTATTAACACATAATTTGGGGGTAAGATATGGGCCTATTTTCCGGCGAATTTTATATTCACTCTTGTTGCTTCTACTGACCAACTTATTGCTATAGATATAAACTGGCGAGGAAAGGATGTTCGAATTGTTTTTATTTATGCCAAATGTGATTACATCCTTCGAAGTAGATTATGGTTGTCTTTAGGGCAACTCATGTCCAGCTCTCTCCCTATTATTTTTATGGGGGATTACAATATTGTTAAAAATGAAGAGGAAAGAGCAGGTGGTTTACCAGTTAACAGGGTGGCCAAGAATGACTTTCTTCAGTTTATTGATTCTCATGGCTTAATGATCTTCCTTTCTTGGGAAGTAAATTTACTTGGTTCAGCAATCGCAATGGGTCTTTGATTTGGGAGAGGCTCGATCGTGCTCTTACTAATCATGCTTGGCTCGATCAATTCCCAATAGTATTATCAATCATCTTGATAGATGTCATTCAGATCATGCTCCGTTGCTCCTACAGTTGGTTGATCCTCAATGTAGCTCGCCTTGTCCTTTTCGTTTTCAGTGTATGTGGCTTCAACATCCTTTATTTCTTCATGTGGTTGCAGAATCTTGGAATAGAGATTGTCATTTTAGTGGTTTGCAACGGATGGCTTTCAAGCTTAAAAGGCTTAAGGAGATCTTAAGCTTTGGAACAAAGTTATATTTGGTAATGTTTTCCAGCAACTTAATGACACCAGGGATAAGATTCTATTACTCGAAAATAAGCTAATTTTGGATGCTTCAGTTGCTAAGGAGCTCAAAGAACTAAAACGCACTTATGACCATCAACTTCTTCAGGAAAAAAATCTATAGAAAGCAACAAAGTCGGGTGAAATGGCTTAAAGAGGGAAACAGCAATACTGCATTTTTTCATGCAATGGCTCGTCAAAATCATCAAAAGATGCATGTTAGTGATATTATAGGTCCTTTTGGTATTCTCACATACACACAACAGGTTTTTGGAGTAGCTGTTGAATTCTTTCAAAGCCACTTGAGTACCGAAATGGAAACTATCGTGATTTATCTCCCATGATCTCTCTGGTGCCTAAATTAGTTACTATTGAGGATAACAATATGCTCCTTTCTGTGGTTTCGGAACATGAAGTATATGAAGCCGTTAAAGGCATTCCTGAAGATTCTGCATTGGGTCCTGATGGTTTTTCTTCATCCATATATATTCATGCTTGGACATTAATTCTGATGATCTTCTTGCTGCAGTCCGTGAATTCTTTGCAGGGGCTCTTTGTTCAGACTCCTTGGGGGCTTCCGTTATCTCGCTTATCCCAAAGAAAGACAAGCCTAACACTTTTCTTGATTTTAGGCCTGTAAGTATTTGCCAAGTGCTTTGCAAAATTATTGCCAAGATTATGGCCAATTGCTTGTCTAAAGTGCTTCCTAAAATTGTCTCTTTGAATCAAGATGGCTTTGTGGCGGGTCGTTTGATCTCGAAAAACATCTCTCTCACTTAAGAATTAGTCCAGTATTTTAAACAAGCACTCACATGGAGGTAATACTATACTTAAGATTGATATGGCCAATGCTTTTGATCACGTGGAGTGGGACTACTTGTTGGCCGTCTTGAGAGCTTTTGGTTTTTCTGAAGGCTGGGTCTCTCTTATTCGCAATGCTATTTCTTCCCCTAAATTTTCAATAAAAATTGATGGAGAACAAGTTGGTTTCTTTGCACCTTCTCGGGGTCTTCGACAAGGGGACCCGCTCTCTCTCCTTTATTGTTCATTTTGAGTGAGGAGCCTTTATCTTAGGGTCTCTTGAATTTATTAAGGGAAGAAAAAAAACATCTCCTTATCAGGTTCCCGAAAACTGCTTACCGGTTTCACATCTATTATATGCAGATGATTTTCTAGTGTTCACTAATGGGTCTCGCGGCTCCCTCAAGGTATTGATGGAATTCTTACATTCTTAACGAATAAGTATCTGGTCAGCTTATCAATACTCAGAAAAGCTCCTTTATCGTTGGTAGAAAAACAACATTTTCTCGTCGGAGGATTATTGAATTAGTTACTAATTTTTGTGAGAGCTCTCTTCCCTTCATTTATTTAGGGGCCCTTATGTTTTATGGCCGCTGTACTTCCTCGTTATTTGCTCCGATGATAGACAAAATACGTAAGAAGGTGGCAGGCTGGAAAGGTAAGATTCTTTCTTGGGGAGGTAAGCTTACTCTCCTTCGATCAGTGTTAGCCTCTATACCTATATATTTAATGTCAGTAATACGCCCTCCAGATAAAGTAGTCCATGAACTTCATCAACTCTTTGCGCAAATTTTTTTTTGGGTGATTATGAGGGCAAATATAAATATCACTGGATTGCTTGGAAGAAAGTATGCTTTCCTATTGATGAAGAGGGATTGGGAGTCCGAAGTTTATTTGATGTTTTTGCCTCACTCCAATGTAAAATGCTATGGAGACTCTTGATGGGGGACTTTTTATGGGCTTCATTCATACGACAGAGATATTTGACCGTAAATTTTAATGAGCTCGTATTCACCTGGTCTTACTGCATCTCCCTATTAGCTTAGTTTAAGTAGATATTTCCCCTTTATCCTAGTACAAAGTAGGTGGAGAGTCGGCGAAGGAAAGATCTCATTTTCGTATACAAACTGGTCAGGCTTGGTTCTTTATACGACCAAGGCTAGCTTGTTAATGAGCCTATGTTACAGCTGAAAGGTGTTTGTGCTAAGGGTTCTTGGAATATTGACCTTATTCATAGACTTGGGGGTGGCAATTTGGTAGCCTACATTTATAATCTGGCCATTCGCTTAAAGCAAGTGCCGGATAAACTTATTTGGTGTCCGACTTCATCAGGAGAATTCTCTACTAATACGGTTTAGAGTCTATTACGTGAGAGCAAGGACAAATTTTATCTCTTCATATTTATTTGGAATAAACTACTTTAGGTGAAAATCTCTATTTTTTTCTAGCGAGTTTGGCGCGGTATAATACCAGTGGATGATGTTGTTAGAAGTTGTAGCATTCCTTTGGCATCAAAATGTCACTGTTGTTCTCATACAAAGGTGAATGACATTGAGCACCTGTTTCATACTAGCGAACCAACGACCCATGCTTGGTCCCATTTTGCTAACATTTTTGGGGCTCAATTGTATTTGCTAGTTCATGGCATGCTATTCTTACTAATTGGCTGCACCAATTTAATGGTTATTCGCAACTTTACCAACTTGCACTTTTGACCCCGACACTCATTGCTTGGGAGCTTTGGCTTGCTCGCAACGAGGCTGGATACAATGGAGGTTTGGTCAATGGTCATAAAATTTGCTCTAAAGTAAAACAATGGCTAGTTGAATTAGAGGTGTCAAGACGAACGAATCGGCTAGACCCGTGAAAATCGGCTTGGATTGATTCGGGACCGCGGGCCGACCCGTGACCCGAGCGGGCGGTTCACGGGTCAAGGAAGTTGCACCTTCTCGGGCCACGATTAACCCGCTGGCTCCTGAATTCTTTTTTTTTTTTTTAAATTTGAAGGGGGGGGGGGGGGG